TTTTTTTTTTTTTTTTTTTTATCTTCCAAGAGAATCTGGGTATAGTTTCTTCAAATCTGTTGTGATAAAATGGTTTTTCTCATTTAAATAATTGATGTAGATAATAAGTTTCTTTTATAAAAAGTGAGCAACATGCTGATCTCTACCTGTTGTTTTTGGATCCTGGATGTCCAGCATTTTAGATATGCTAGTTGATATTCACAAGATACTTTTAACATACAACTATATTGGGTTTGATGTTTTTAAAATAATTAATAGAATTTAAGAATGTATATATGAGGTTTCCTTTTGTTAATATATCCAAATTCTGTCATCATTACAGGCATTAGTCAATAATCCGAAAATTGAAGTGATAGATGGGAAGTATGCCTTCAAGCCCAAATACAACTTGAAAGATAAGAAAGCCCTACTTAGGCTGTTAGATAAGCATGACCAGCGAGGCTTAGGAGGAATTCTTTTAGAAGACATAGAGGAAGGACTACCCAATTCCCAGAAAGCTATCAAGGTAACATTTCTTTTCTTTTTGTGCCTTAGTATAATTTGAATTAATAATATCTTGTTTTAAAAAACAGCAAGTGTTTTACAATTTTTATTTTTAAATGTTTATTTTTGAGAGAGGGTGAGAGGGTGCACGTGTGTGCATGAGCCGGGGAGGGGCAGAGAGAGAGGAAGAGGGAGAGAGAATCCCAAGCAGGGTCTGCACTGTCAGTGTAGGGTCCGATGCAGGGCTTGAACTCACGAACTATGAGATCATGACCTGAGCCAAGGTTAAGAGTCAGATGTTTAATGGACTGAGCCACCCAGGTGCCCTGGTGATGAGAACTTGTACAATTTACTCTCTTAGTAGCTTTTAAATAAACAATACGGTTTTATTAACTGTACTTAGTGTGCTATATATTACATCCCCATGACTTTTTTACTTATTTATTTTATAACTGATAGTGTATACTTTTTGACTCCTTCATACATCCATCTCCCATCTGCTGTGTCTGACAACCACTAATCTGTTTTCTATTGATGAGCCTTTTTTTTTTTTTAGATTCCACATAAAGGTGAGATCATACATTTGTCTTTTTCTGACTTATTTCACTTAGCATAATGGCCTCAAGGTCCATCTATTTTTTTGCATATGGCAAGGTTTCACTCTTTTATGGCTAGATAATATTTCAGGTGTGTGTGTGTGTGTGTGTGTGTGTGTGTGTGTGTGTGTGTATCAGATTTTCTTTATCCACGTATCCATCAATGGATACTTAGGTTGTTTCTGTATCTTGGCTATTGTGAACAATGGTGCTGTGTGCAAGGGAGTGCATGTATCCTTTTCAGTTAGCGTTTTTGGTTTCATTGGATAAGTACCAGAACTGGATTACTGAAGTATAGGGTTGTTCTATTTTCAATTGCACCAATTTACATTCACACCAACAGTGCATGAGAGTTCCCTTTTCTCCACATCTTCTCCAACAGTGATACCTTGTCTTTATAATAATGGCTTTTATTAACAGGTGTGAGATGATACCTCATTGTGGTTTAGCATTTCCCTGATGATGTTGATTGTGTTGGTTGTCATTTGTAGATCTTCTTTGGAAACATGTATTTGTGATCCTCTTCCAATTTTTAAATTAGACTGTTTTTTTGGTGTCAGGTTCCATGAGTTCTTTACATATTTGTGATTTTTTTTTTTTTTAATGTTTATTTATTTCTGAGACAGAGCATGAGTGGGGAGGGGCAGAGAGAGAGGGAGACACAGAATCCGAAGCAGGCTCCAGACTCTAGGCTCTCAGCTGTCAGCACAGAGCCCGACACGGGGCTCGAACTCACAGACCATGAGATCATGACCTGAACAGAAGTCAGTTGCTCAACCGACTGAGCCACCTAGGTGCCCCTACATATTTTTGTGATCTTAACCCCTAATCAGATACATGATTTGCAAATATTTTCTCCCATTCAGTAAGTTGCCTTTCCATTTTATTGGTTTCATTTGCTGTGCAGAAGCTTTTTAGTTTGATGCAGTGCCACTTTTTTGCTTTTGTTTTTGCTTTTGATGTCAAGTCTGACAAATCATCTCCAAAGCTGATATCAGGAAACTTATCCACCTGTGTTTTCTTCTTCGTCTTTTATCGTTTCAGGTCTTATATTCAGGTTGTTAATTCATTTTAAGTTAATTTTTGTTAATGGTGTAAGATAGTGGTCCAATTTCATTCTTTTGCATGTAGCTGCCCAGTTTTTCCAGCACCACTTATTAAAGAGACTGCCCTTTGTGCATTGTTATTCTTGGCTCATTTGTCATAAATCTGTTGACCATATATGCATATGTGGGCTCTCTATTCTGTTTCATTGATCTGTGTAACACTTTTTTTTGTCAGTACTATACTCTTTTGATTACTGTAGCTTTGTAATATAGTGTGAAATCAAGAAGTGTGATACCTCTAGCTTTGTTCTTTCTCAAGATTACTTTGGCTATTCAGGATCTTTTGTGGTTCCATGTAAGTTTTAGGATTAGTTTATTCTTTTTGTATGGAAAATGCCATTGGAATTTTGATAGGGATTGCATTGAATCCATAGTTTGCTTTGGATAGTATGGCCATTTTAATAATGGTCCTCTTCCAATCCATGAGCATGGTGTATCTTTCCATTTATTTGTGTTGTCTTCAGTTTCTCTCATGAATGTCTCACACTTTGCAGTGTAGAGGTTTCTTACGTCCTTGGTTAACTTTATTCCTAGATGTTTTATTCTTTTTGATGCACTGGCAAATGGGGTTATTTTCTTAATTTCAGATAGTTTGTTATTAGTGTAGAGAAATGTAACTTATTTCTGTATATAGGTTTTGTATCCTGCGACTGTACTGTATTTATTCTAAAAGTTTGGTGAGTCTTTAGGGTTTTCTATATATGTCGTATTATCTGAAATTACTGACACTTTTTGTTCTTCTTTCCACTTTGGATGCCCTTAATTTCTTTTTCTTATTTAATTGCTCTGGCTAGCACCTCCAGTAATGTGTTGAATAAAAGTGACAGGAACAGGCATTCTTGTCTTGTTTCTGATTTTAGAGGAAAAGTTTTTGGTTTTTCACCAGTGAGTGTGATATTAACTGTGGAATTGTCTTAATATTATGGTAAGGTGTATTCCCTGTATACCCAGTTTGTTGATGGGTTTTTTTTTTTTTTTTTTTTTTTTTTTTTTTTTTTTTTTTTTTTTTTTATCGTGAGTGGATGTTGAATTTTGTCAAATGCTTTTTCTGCATTTATTGAGAGGTCATATGATTTTTCCAAGTTTCATGTTGTTAATGTGGTATATCACATTGTGTGATTTGTGCATTTGAACCTTGCGTCCCTGGAATAAATCCCATTTGATCATGGTATATAATCCTTTTAGTGTATTGTTGAATTCTATGTGCTAATACTGTGTTAGGATTTTTGTATCTGTATTCATCAGAGATGTTGGCCTATCAATTTTTTTCTTGTGGCATCTGTGTCTGGTTTTGATATCAGGTTAATGCTAGCCTCATAAAATGTGTTTGGAAGTATTCCCTTCCCCTATTTTGGAAGAGTTTAAGAAGGATCGATATTAATTCTTTTTTGAATGTTTGGTAGAATTCATCAATTAAGTTGCCTGGTCTTGGACTTTTTTTGTTGGGAGATTTTCTTTTTTTTGGATCACTGATTTTTTTTCAATATTTATTTTGAGAGAGAGAGAGAGTGTGTGAGCAGGAGAGGGAAACACAGAATCCAAAGCAGGCTCCAGGCTCCGAGCTGTCAGCACAGAGCCCAATGCAGGGCTCAAATTCACAAACCGTGAGATCACAGCCTGAGCTGAAGTCGGGTGCTCAGCCAACTGAGCCACCCAGGGGCCCCGAGATTTTTCTTATTTTTGGTGTAGGCATTTATAGCTTTGAATTTCCATCTTAGAACTGCTTTTGCTTTATCTCATAAGTTTTGGTGTGCTGTATTTCCATTTTCTTTTGTCTCAAAGTATTTTTAATTTCTCCTTTCATTTCTTTGTTGACCCATTAGTTGTATAGTAGTATATTGTTTAGCCTCCACATGTTCAATGTGTTTTTGCATTTTTCTTCTTATAACTGATTTCTGTTTCCATACTATTGTGGTCAGAAATGATACTTGAGGGGCACCTGGGTGTTCAGTAGGTTAAGTGTCCAGCTTCAGCTCAGGTCATAATCTCGTGGTTTGTGAGTTTGAGCCCCATGTTGGGCTCTGTACTGACAGCACAGAGCCTGGAGCCTGCTTCGGATTCTGTGTCTTCCTCTCTCTCTGCCCCTCCCCTGCTCACACTCTGTCTCTGTCTTTCTCAAAAGTAAACATTAAAAAAAAAGATGATATGCTTTAGGTATTCTTAAATTTATTGAGATTTGTTTTCTGTCTAACGTGCTATCTATTCTGGAGAATGTTCCATGTGCACTTGAAAAGAATGTGTATTTTGGGGGTGCCTGGGTGACTCAGTCGGTTAAGTGTCCGACTTTGGCCCAGGTCATGATCTCGCGGTTTGTGAGTTCGAGCCCCACGTTGGGCTCTGTGAGCCTGGAGCCTGCTTCAGATTCTGTGTCTCCTCCCCCTCTCTCTGCCCCTCCCATGCTCATACTCTGTCTCTCTCTGTCTCTCAATAATAAATGTTAAAAAAATTTTTTTTAAAAATGTATTTTGCTGTGTTTGGATGATATGTTTGGTATGTATCTGTTAATTCTGCTGTCCTGATGTATTAAGGCCAGTATTTCCTTACTGATTTTCTGTCTGGATGATCTATTCATTGATATAACTGGGGTATAAACTCTACTGTTACTTTATCACTGTCAACTTATTACTTTGTTAATATTTGTTTTATGTATTTTGGTGGCCCTATGTTGGGTACAAAGATATCCTGTTTTTGGATTGATCCCTTTATCATGATATAATGCTGTCTTTGACTCTGTTACAGACTTTTGTAGTCTGTTTTGTCTGATATAAGTATTGCCAAGTCAGCTTCCTTTTGGTTTCCATTTGCAGAGAATGTCTTTTTCATCTCACTTTGAGTCTCTGTGTGTCTTTAGATCTTAAGTGAGTCTCTTGTAGACAGCATATACCTGGGTCTTGTTTTCATCTTGTTTTGTTTTATCCTTTCAGCCACCCTATGTCTTTTGATTGGAGCATTCAGTCCATTTATATTTGAAGTAGTAATTGGTAGGTATGTACTCATTGCCATTTAATTTGTTGTTTTCTTTTTTGTTTTTGTTCTGTTTTTTCTTCTTTTTTGGCTTTCTTCCCTTGCGATCATACTTTTCCTTAGTGTTTTGTTTTCCTTTCTCTTTATTTTTTTAGTGTATCTCTTATAGGTATTTGGCTTGTGTTTATCATGAGGTTCATACATAGCATCCTATGTATATAGTGGTCTATTGATGTTGATGGTCGTGTAAATTCAGATATGTTCTAAAAGCCCTACATTTTTACTGCCCCACCCCCGTTTTGTTTTTCATGTCATATTTTATATCTTATTTTTTTGTGTTCTTCGACCAATTATTGTAGGTGTAGATGATTTTATTACTTTTGTCTTTTAACCATCACACTATATAGGTGATTGATCTACTACCTTCACTATATGTTTACCTTTACCACTAAAATGCCTTCTTTCATAATTTTCTTCTAGTTACAGTCTTTTCATTTATAGAAGTCCCTTTAACATTTCTTATAAGGTTGGTTGGTTGTTGAATTCCTTTAACTTTTGCTTGTACGGGAAACTCTTCTCTTTCCTTCACGTCTGAGTGATAATCTTGCTGGGTAGAGTAAGTTCTTGGTTTTAGGTTTTTACTGTCATTGCTTTGAATATGTTGTACCATTCTCTTCTGGCCTTTGAATTTTTGTCTGAAAAACCAACTTCTAGTCTTAGAGGGGTTCTGTAGGTTGTAAATAGTTGTTTTTGATTTTAAGAATCACTCTTCCTCTTGGGGTGCCTGGGTGGCTTAGTTGGTTAAGCATCTGACTCTTGATTTCAGCTCAGGTCATGATCTCATGGTTTGTGAGATCGAGCCCCGCTTTGGGTTTTATGCTGACAGTGCAGAGCCTGCTTGGGATTCTCTCTCTCTGCCCCTCCCCTGCTTATGCTCTCTCTCTCTCTCAAAATAAATAAACCTAAAAAAAAAAAAAATCAACTTTTTAAATTGTTGATAATTGTATTCTAGTGTATCTTGGCATAGCTCTTTTTTGGTATAGGTCTCTTTTGTTCATCTTATTGGGGACTTTCTGTATTGCCTGGACTTGGATGTCTGTTTCCTTTGCCAAGTCAGAGGAGTTTCCAGCCATTATTTTTTTAAGTAGGCTTCTTTCCTTTTTCTCTTCTCCTTCTGGGATCCCTATAATTTGAATATTAGTATGCTTGATGTTGTCCCAGAGGTCCCTTAAACTATCCTCATTTTTAAAAACTGTCTTTTTTCTTTTTGCTGTTCTGATTGGGTGATTTCCACTACCCTGTCTTACAAATCACTGATCCATTTTTTCTGTGTCATTTGATCTGCAGTTGATTCCCTGTACTGTAGTTTTCATTTCAGTTATTGTATTCTTCAGCTCTGATTTTTCAGCTTTTTACATTTTCTCTTTGTTGAAGTTCTCACCGTGTTCACCTGTTTTTCTCCTGAGTTTGGTGAGCATTTTTATGACCATTACTTTGAACTTTTTATCTGAACTATTTTTCAAAGTATTTTATGTCATGAATAATTTATATAAATAAGAATGAAAGGATGGTGAAAAACAACTTTACTGGAAATTTTTATAAGATTTTAACATAGCAAACTTCTGTATCAAGTGTATTTTGGCAAACACATCAGAAAGATGAAAGAATACTATTATACGTCTTTTTAGCAAAGTGAAATGGCAAAGGTTCATATCACATAGTATTGTACAGTGAATTCCTTCTTGTTGAAAAACTAACTGAAGGAAAATACCTTATATATTTAAGTCCTTAGCAATATGTCATTCAATCATTGATTCTTAAGCTTGAGGTGATTCATCTATGGTATTGTCGTCCAAAGACTTACAGGTTTAGATTTTATTTCTATAATGAATTTCACCATCATCAGAGTCTAGAGTGAGTGCTACTATCAGGCTTTCTGAATTCTTGTTCTCATTCATTAATAATGGTGAAGTATGTTCCGTCAGTTTTCTTGTCATTGCTCTAAGGAGCAGAAAATAAAAAATTGTGAACTGTCAAATATTTAATGAAAGCTAAAAGATAACAAAGACCACTCTGTAGTCTTTTATATCTTCTGAAAGATAATGCAATAGTTTGGGCAGTGCAATAACACAAATTGAATCACACTTCTAAGTGATAGAATTTCACTGTTTCACTATTATATTACACTTGTAGGTGATATAACCTTTCTTTCCTTTTTAAAAAAAACTTTTTACTCTTTATAATGTTTATTTATTTATTGAGAGGGGGAGAGAAAGCTGGCGGGGGGGGGGGGG